TTAGAGTCTTTCCAATCCAATCAGCACCCCTCAAGGTGTATTTACTTAATCGTATATTACTGTTGTCTTAAAATGAATTATTAGGACATGAGAGAAAAAATGTCCAAGTGGACACACACTCTGAGCAATCGGAATCTGCACGGCAGGGGACGGCTGTGTTTCTGGCTGATACATGCCATAGTTAAGCGGAGAGCTATTCTGTTTAATTAAACAGGGCATGTCTGCTTAAAGAAACCATCCCATTGACTAACGGTCTCAGTTAACTTCCATTGGGTTTGTTGTCCAATCACAGATGAAATTCTGCCTCTTATTTTAAAGCATTTCAATTGACCATCCTGCAAATAAGAAGCGCTGCCATTGTGTTATTTTAAGTTTTGTGTATGTTTTTTTGTTTGTAATTAATTCAGATACCAGTTTGACTTTCTAAACTTAAAGTGAAAACCTTACACCAAGGTGCAACACAAGCTGTAGAAGACCTTGCACTCTCCAACACTTCTGAATGTACACACGCTATGATCCCTTTTCATGAGAGCTGTTGAATCAACTTCAATCAATTTCAGGCTTGAGCTGCTGTTTAATTTCTTAGTGTAGCATTTACGTTTATTTGAAATATTTAGTCTAATGTCAATGAGATAAGATGTTATTTAACAAGAGATGCAACCATCACAAAAATTAATCAAAGGCTATTTTCATGATACATTGCTTTGAGCTTCTGATTTGTTTCCCTCTGATAGTAGGCTGAATATCTTTGGGTTGAGGACTGCTCGGCAGTCAAAACAAGACATGTGAAGACCTTGGACACGAGGAATTTACATTTTTTTCCAGGCCAAACAATAGAGAAAATAATTAGTAATCAGATCTGTAATGAAAATGAATTGTCACTATCACAGGTTTGGTAGTTATACTTGGCAATATTTAATAGTCAGAAGCATTATATCATTTGGCATCTTGGCACATGTACAGATGGAATCATAATATATTAGAAAAGTTAGTGTGACATGGTAATGGTACTTTGCTAAACTTCAAAGTACAGCTAATGCTGCTGTATATATTAACGTCATAGGTTAACAAAAGTCTTGTTGATAATATGCATTGAAAAAAGAAGAGAACTTGAACTGTCAGTGAGTCAAAATGAAAACTCAAGCAATCAAACCAATTTATTGTCCCTGACATTATTGAAATTTAAGTTACACTTCTGGTGCATTTTCATTCAGTATGCATTGGTCATGACTAAGCTGAAAAAACTTTTGGCAACTTGGATGATAGTCTGCATTGTTTGTTCAGACAGTGTGAAGTTTCCCCAAGGGAGTGGTGAGGATTACTATCCCACTCACAGATTTATGATTTGGTTGAATGCTGGGCTAAACCAAACAAACACATTATAAAAATACATTTAATAGTGTTGCAAGAACAGTCTGAAGTTGCAAGAACCATACCATTCTCCTGGTAACTTCTTCCTCAACACAACGAGCACAGACTACATAGTTTATTCTGAAACTTCCCCAATAGAAGACTTACAATCTCTGGTGAATATAGCCATCTCGGGACGGTTTTAAAAATGCAGGCGGAAGATTCCCCTTTCCCCTGCCATACCAATTTGACGAGGGGATTAAACTACAGTTTTAATGTTCAGTGTATCACCAATATGTCACCTGCATGCAATACAGGTTTCTTCATCTGTGATTACAAGTGTGTGGAAGACAAAGGGGCTATATGCTTTAAACACATTGTAGGTAACCAGATATCAAACACTACAGCTTATGAATGCCTGAATAGAACCAGGTGGTCTGAGTGTAGATTGGGTGGTTCAGGGATTTTCTAAAGTTATACGTGACAACTACATAATTTGACACGCTACACCTACAACTACGTACACAGAGGAAAAGCACTATTACTGACAGAGTTAAACATAAGTGAAAACCAAACAGTAAAAAATGTGTGCAATGCTTAAATGTTCTGATGCAATTACAAGACAGTTCAAAAAGAATTGAAGAGCCTGCAGCTACCTTTTTGAATGACAGGAAAACTATTAACTATTGCTGCAAATTACTGTAGAGGGTTACTGCAATCTAACTGACTTAATCAAATAATCCATCTTTTTTTCTTTTTTTTTTTAAAAGAGAAAAATCTGTAATATCTTGAAAGCTCTGCTATACAAGTTTGACTAAATAACAAGTAACCTAAGCATACTGCTTCTAGACAGTTCTTTTGCAGGAAAAGGTATTAACCAAAACAGTATGGTAGGAGACTGTCATGTTCAGCTTACAGTGTTCATTTGATTTACACAACACATGTAGATAAAAACTGTATTTTTAAGTATAGTAAGATTTTGCTGCTTTGCTGAGTTCATTCTCAGAAGAGTAACGTCCCTCTGGCTGTTGGTGTGTCTCATTCTGACACTGATTATCAGCCTGCCCTACCTGTCAATCCACTTTACGTTGAATTCAGTTTTCTCAATTTCAGTTTGAATGTCTATATCTTGTTTAATTAGTAATCTCCGAGTGCATCAATGTCAACTCTTCAATATTCCTTTACATTAGACGCAGGGGGCTCACTGTAAAGAAATGTTTGGCAACATGGGAAAAATAGTTGCCAGATGAGCCAATCTGACCGAGTGAAATAGTTTGTCTGAGGTCCAAATCTAATAGCAGAGAAAACTATGGAACAGTTAACTAGAAACACTGTCAAATAATGTTTACTACACATACATGCTTCTGTACCACACTTCAGCATTATTTTATAGTTAAAAAAAAAATAGAGTATATTTTAGAGTATAACAATAAATAGTCCATCATAGGATTTTAGAGTATAACAATAAATAGTCCATCATAGGATAAATGTATTTCATTGAATGCATGTATGCTCCCTCATTTAACAGGACAAGTACTCTTTGGCTGGTCTTTATAGAACTTGGTGTGAAAACAAGCAAAGGCAGTAGTCCCCTTTCACACCTTCAAATTGCTCAATAGAAAAAAAAAAACAAGTATCAAGTCAAGGGGAAAAGTGTGGAGCATGCAGGATAAAGTTTTGAGTGAGCTTGCAGGAGTCGTCAGCCACGTCCGGTTTATTCGGTCATAATTTGAAGCACGGTGCAGATTTTACTATCTTGTATGTTTCATCATATCATTTTGATTTTCAACTCTTAATAAATCAACTTCTGGAAACTTCTGAACTGGCATGCCTCTGCATGCACACCTTGAGTCAAAATGGGCCTTCCCACATGATAGCCAACTTCCTCAGACATGAAACCTCAGTTGATCATTTACATACTCTACAAGTCACATGGGGACTTGAACTAAAGCCCAGCAGTGTGCAAGCTCTTGTTTCTTTTTTTTTTCTTTAAAAGTAAATATTCGCCACCAACGAAGGCCCACACTGTCGCATTTTGTGTTTAGCAAACCAGCTAGCGACAGGACTGCACAGTATAACCACACCACCTGTGTAAAGCTGTTAGCTTGCTAAAAGCTAAGCGACCAGCACGAAACTGTAATATCCTGCTGCTTAGAAACTGAATATCACAACATGAAAAACCCCTCTGGAAAACTGTTCACATGATTGCTTACTTCACAGAGACATACTAATGTGTATTTACTACCAGATGGGACATATGCGGTGAGAGGAGGCCTGTCGCAGCACAGACCAGGTGGGCCATGCACACACGCAGCAGTTTTCAGTGTCCCCCTTTTTCTACAGGATATTACACATGACACTGTGGGATAACACACCGAAGTGATACAAACAAAACACAACACTCTATTATGTGTCATCTAACTAACCTTGACTGTCATTCCCAGTAAAACTGCAGCAAATAGTACAGCTGTCTTATTTGAATGGAGGGACCTCGGGCCTGTTAGCTACCATGCTGGTTGCGTTTCAATGAGGCTTAGAGGGGGCATTAGCAAGCACTTTTCAGTACTTACGTCTTCAATGACACATCGAGCATGATGTTCAAAATACTAACACATGCACGACCTAATTGCTTCTGCATAATGGCACTCTTTTGCATTCATTACGGTGAACAAAAGTGGCTTTGTGGTGAGTGTACAGATTACGTTAAACGGCGTGCAGCGTGAGTTGTTATGTAGGCTAACATTAGCCAGCTAGCGTTAGCTACCTGGTTGCTGTAAGAAGCCATGCTCCCTCTGAGGTTTTCTCTTCTCCCGCTGACAAGTTGAAAACTCTCCCGGGAAGGTGTTGTAGGGTTCTGATGACAGTTACAAACGGTGTCCTACTTCGACGTCATTGTCATTTTACCGACGTTGTCCTGGCAGTCGTTAGTTTTGATCCATGTAATGCATCAGCACTTCATGCTGCTCGCCTCGCCGTCACCGCCATTTCTGCCTCTTCCTCTCCTGCTAGCACAGCGCGCGGTCGGCTGGTTGTAGTGGACGCGTGAGCTCCGAGAATCACGAGAAACACTTCCGGTTATCTTCGACTCTACGGGTTTCACGATAAAAGTATCCAACTCCCTAATGAAAGATATCCCCTCAACCGAGTGACCGAGGCGTAATAAACATCGGCTCAATTAAAAAAAAATATATATATATATATATATATAAAGCTGACAGCAACTCAATAACTTTTATGGCACGTGTAGGACAATAAGGTTATAATGATTGCTTATAATTTACGGAAATACCTGGGCTGTGTTTATTGGGTTCATAAAGTATAGTTAATTCTAGAATTGGTAAATGAACTTATCTTAGATATTAAGTTTAAGACTGGTTATCACAGCTCATTGTAGGTTTAACTCTTTACTTGAGATCGTATCATCATGTTTTATCAGATCTGTGCAAACACATCAACACACAACAGAGAAAAGTATCAGTTCCTCAAGTATGGCAATCAAGCTTGACCTCGTTGACATGGCAGTCGAAAAATTTACATTTATTCTGAAATAAATCTTAAATTCGGTGGAAACACCGTCTTCGGTTATTACCGTGAGCTTCACGGTCGATGCGTGACCGCGTGCACTTTGTGCGTTCACGTCCGGGTTGGGGCATGAATCGCAGATTTTTTAAATTTGCAAATTGAGCACGATTTAAACCAACTTTTTTTTTTTTTTTTTTTTATATTGTTAAGGCCACTTGTCCTGTGATATTTCAATCAAACCTACCCTTTATATGCAGTTTCTAGTAAAGTATAGTCTGCCTGACTGTTTACATAGAAACTACAATGAAGTAGTGACAAATATATCCTACTAATATACAGAATGCACATACACATACACATATGTTCAAATAACGATATTCAACATCAGCAGCATGAATGTAAAATCTAATTTCCCCATAAAATTAATTCGACACTAGTGGGCGTGGCACAGAACAGGTGAGACGACAGGAGAAGGAAATCTGTGAAACAGGAAGCTGTGAAGGTAGGCCGTTTTTTACAGATATAGGTATTTACAGAAATACGAATTCATTTAACACAGAGTCTAAATATAGGAAAACGTATTCCTGTATCTTGGTTGCCTTTACATGCACGATTGCTTTTTATTTCTCATGTTAGTCAAAACATGAAACCGAAAAGGGACAAACTCACCGCAAAGTAGGGGGGCTTTGCTGTGTGTCGTGGGCCTCTTACAAAAACATGCTATGGGCTTGTATAATCAAATATGTAAAAACATACAATTGTGATTGAATCTTCCCTCCTTATTATGTCTTCATATGTTTTTATTGATTGGGCACCAAGACTAGTACACCTGTCTGCCCTAACAGCCCTTTAAATGAAGAAACCTCTGTTTTAGGTTGTTTTTCCCCACACATAGACATAATCCATTATAAATAATCCTCCACGCTGCTTCACTGTCCTTAGTGGCAGCTGCAGAAACACAAGCCAACTATCCACTTTGTTTAAGAGTGTCTGTAATAGGATTCATGTCGGTAATCTCCTTCTAGGCGAAGGAAAATGCCAGAGAGGGGAAGACACCACCAGAGGAGTGATGAGTATGAGAGCAGGGAGAGGGACTATCCATACAAAGGAGACCACCACACTTCAAACAGCAGAGGTCCCGACCGAAACCCAAGGGCAGCGGACAAGAGAGGCTCTGCTGGTGACAGGAGGGCCAAACAAAACAACAGACAGAGGGACGTGCCAAGCGCCTCTCACAAGGAGCCACCTGCTTACAGAAACCCTGACCATGAAGGACCCTCAGGACTGTAAGGAACTGTGTTACCAGGCCTCACTGTAATGTCTTACACATAAACGAATTGACTATTTTTTCATTATTTTTTATTGAAATGCATGTCGTGTACAGAAATCAAATCTGACCGCATAATTTTGTTCTGTTAGGTCCAGAGAGACTTCTTTTTATCACTCTGAAGCGGAGTATTACGAGCAGCACCAAAAACCAGCTCTTTACAATTTCAGATACATTTTAACCTCTAGAGGCAAGTATATTTTTCCTTGGAATCGTACCACTAAATTTGCCTGGCCCGGTTCACATTCATATTATTGTGTGTTTATCCTGTGTGTCCCAGGTCTCTGCCAGGTTATGGAGCTGTTTATGAATCTTCTTATTGTCATCTGTGCCGGAGTGCCGTACAGCAACAATGGGGGCTACAGAGATCTGGCCAGCCTGGGTGGAATCTACTATTATCACTTCGGTGGAGCCAATGCCTTCACTGGAGCTGACGCAGACCGTGTGAAGGAGCTGGACCGCCTCTTCCATGAGCTCAAGCGGCCTCCTTACATCTTCACCATGGCATGTGGAGGGGTTTTGATGATCTACGTCTGTGCCATGCTTGCCTTGGGGGTTTTCAGAGTGCCTTACCGCTGGCCCCCCGTGCTGCTAGGGGAGGCTCTGCTTAACCTCCTGATTGGCCTGGGCTATATCCCAGCACTGGCCTTCTACTTTATTAAGCTACAGGAAACCTATGACAGTCCAATCTGCAAGGAGAGAGAACAGATGTACAAGAGCAAAGGTCACAAGGGCTTTGAGTGTCAGTTCCATGGTGCAGATATTGCAACAGGTCTGTTTGCGGTGCTGGGGGTGTTTGTTTTTATCTTTGGTGCAGTGTTAGCCGTCAAAGCCTTCAAGTCAGTACGGGAGCTAAAGAAGCAAAGGACAAACGAGGACGATCGTCTGTAACAAAGATTTTTTAACCTGTTTATATCCCTCAGAAATCTAACCCCTGTTGAATTATATTTTTTTGTGATATATATATATATATATATATATATATATGTATTTTTTTTTGCAGCCCTTTTTTATGCTCTGAAAGTTTTTTTCGTAAGATTTAAACACATTTTTAAAATAAATATCACTAACAGTTTACATAGCGGTGTGTTTTATCTTTTACAATGTTACATCTGTTTGAATGGTGCCTTAATAAACAACTCATGCTATATATTATGTTTCTGTTACTACTTGTTAACTCGTAAGTTAAACCCTCATATATTTATTTGTTCTTTCTGAAAGAGCAATTTGAACGAAGGATACATTACTTTAAGAACATGTTTATCTGATAAGCTACCCATGTACAGTTCCCAGCGGTTTCACAGGCCTTCATCCTTTACAGGTAGACAAAATTTATTTCCCACGACACAGGCTGAATATATTGTTATATTGTTATATTGTTCCTTAGATGTTAAGCTATCAGTGAAGATCAATCTGTAAATGATCAGTGTTAGGGTTAAGAGTTATCCAATGACTTGAAGCTTTCTTTTTAGTGAGATTTGAATACATTTACAACTAATAAATGCCTAAAATATCCACAGCATTTCTAGGGATATGTCTTCTCCACCATTATACTTAGGTTTAGTATTATTCCGAGCTCTGCCAGTAGATGGCAGATCTGACACAGAAGCACAATTATGGTAACATTTCAGCGCATTAGATTTAATTTAGTTAGGGTAAAATCATAAAAAGAAAATACAATACTACTTTCCATATTCTCATTTTATAGTATAATTCTGGATTGAAGCATAAATTACAAAATAAACTGGACATGTTTTATTTTGACAAAATCTGTCATTTGGATTTTTCTTTTATTGGCATGAGATCTTTAAAAAAAAAAAAGGTGAGCAATATGGACACTGGACCAAATAAATTCACAGTAAAAAGTTTTATTGCTACTTGGCTTTAAGTTAATTAAACAGCTCAACTGCGTAAAAGAAATGATAGCAGCATTTTAAATCAAACAACAACCATCTTCTACACTCAAAGATTACAGGAGTTAATTTCTGTCTGACACACAGCAAAAGTGCTCATCGATAGTTTTTTTCCCCTAAATAATGTTTTTATAATCATGAAACATCGAACACAATTTTAGCAGTAATCTGCACAATCGAATCAAAACCCCCAAATCTTAGACAAGCTCAATTTCATACAAATAAATCACCTTTTGTTTGTACTCGATGCTCCTATTCAATGCAATCCTGGGAGCATGCTTTCAACATTGATACAGTAATGTTAGGAGCAAGACCTTAGATTAAAGTACCATAATGAGTGATCCCTTTCTGTAGAATCCAAACCACTTATAATTCTGTTAGAGTAGAAGGGGAATATACATTTGCATGAAACAATTAAGTACAAAAATAAACATCAGCTTCTTGGCATTAAGAAAAAATATTCAAGCATTTCTAAAAAATAATGTAGAGAAAGGAACTGTGGGATTAAACAATGGCTACTTTGGTCACATGTTAAACAAATGGAACATCTTGGGTCAGTTTCATTCATCACGCAAAAATACAGTCAATCCATTATTCACACAGGCATGCATACACTTACTGTACATGTGCACTTAATTTACACAGAAACACAAACAGTTTGCAATGCAGTTGTACAGGGAGACTTTAAAGATGTGTGCAGAGATGAAATGATCCCTTAAAGTTGCACAAAGGGTACAACAAGCATTATAGAAAGATATGTGAGAATTAAAGGGAATATTTTAAGCCAATCCACCACATCAGCTCCTCCCTCCTCTTGTATCTACACACACAGATGGCATTATGTACATGTACAGCGATAAGTACGCTGATGGAGCGTTGTTTCAACATACTTCAAATGTATACAAGATGAGAACGCAGGGGGGATTATGGTGTCAACCAGGAGATGCATAGAATAGTGTACAGTCATAGACAAAAAAGGACCAAGGCAGTTTTGAAGAGCACTAAATGAAACAGTGCAATGTAGTCCCAACGTGATTTGACCCGGTGAGCCAAATAAATAAAACTGCAGATGAGCTGAAGGAGGGGAACACTGATTTCACATCATACACACGTCAGTCACTAGTCATTTTCAGACATATATAGAAATAGGGGTTTGTAGCTTAAGGTGAAATGAAGCTTTGATAGACATATATAGATTTATATTTACAGTTGACACTTTGCATATTTGTACGAGTGAATTCTCAACAAAAGTTGTGAACACCACAATTTTGTAAAACCTAAAGGAAAGTTCCATTTCCCCTCTCAACAGTTCCAACTTTTTCGAGTGCTAGCCGACATAATTCACAATCATAATCTGTCTTACAGTTTTTCTTTCTCTTCCTGCAGCAGGTGAGCCTGCAGCACCAATCCATGTTGGTCACCATCAGACAAGAGGCCTGACACCATGTGCAGGCTCTGATACCGGAGGTTTGGCCACAGTCTGACCCACAGAGAGTCCAGGTGTTTGGCATTTTAGACACTGCACAGTCTGATAAATAAAGTGACTGGAAACAAATTCAAAACAAACAGACTCATAAAATACAATTTCCCATTTCTAACTCAGAAAAAAAAAAACTGCAAGTTTTAGTTGAAAATAGTGTCTAATTCTGAACAAGCAGAATACCAATGCTTCAATGTGGATCAAAGCAATGCCTATCTTATACTATTGTTTTAATTACACATCATTATTACAGGGAGTATTTAAAAAAGCCTTAGGTATGCCAGATGGTTAGGGGTCAATATTAGTTCATATACATTATGGATAACAAAAAGTTAAGAAAGAGTTACTCTAGTGTATTGTGTAAGAATACATATGGATGTGTGTTATGCTGTTTGAGGTATTGATGATAAATATATTCATATCGGTTAAGGTCTTTTATAAAATTCAGATGTAACTGGCAGCAAAAATAAAATCCTTATCATCTCTGTTGGCAAAGTATTCTAAGACAAGAGGTGATATGTTGGGTTGAGGACACTCAGGGAAAGTACGTTGATAAATCTCTTTTATATTAAATCAAATTTACATCACTCTGAATATTACTATCTCTCTCTGTAAAAAGTGCTTTTAACAGTGTTTTTTTTTTTTTTTTCAAAAGACAAAAACTTGCAAAAGGCAACAAAAAGTTCAGACTCATATGTTAAGGCTTTGTCACTGAGGTTGTCCCTCATTTGTGTGGAGCAAAGAAAGCATAGAGGGGCCATTTGAAAGAAAATACACCACCCAATTCCTCAGTCACAAAAAGCAAATCACAAATGGGATACAAAAAGGGCTTCTCCTTTCAAATATACCAAGTTTGGTTACTTTAAGGCTAAAGGGGAAAACTGAAAGGTCCAGCTATGTGGCAGAATACCAGATAACAAATATCAGAAATGCACAGGAAATATACATCAAATGATGATCAACTTTGGCCTTTTAAAAACCACAACAGAACCAGTTTCAGGGGCTGTATGATATGCACTGACACTACAAATAATAACAGAGTGTTAGAAAAATTGCCACAAGAAACATCTAAACACAAAACAGATTGTAAGCCGATGATACCAATATCTTAAGGACTGTATGACTTAGTGGAAGGAAATGCAACCCGCTGAACCAGAGTTATTAATTCAGCACCTTTTACTGCTGCCTCACTTCACTTAATAATCTGTAGATTAATAATAATAATAAATTATGGCAAGACATAATGTGTTTCTATGTCACAAATTTTTGTGTGCACTTAGAACTGTAGGCTGTGCCCCGAATCTTTGTGATGCTTTGTGATCAATTAACTGATTAATGATTTCCAAATCACCAGTCTACTGTCCAGTGACAATAAAACAGACTAAATTTGAGAAACAACAGGATAATCTGTGCAGTGCATGATCGAACAGTATTCTCAAACACTATAAATTCAAATAAAAGTTGAAGGATTTTTGAATTCTGCAATACCTCTGCTCTGTATAGTTGAAAAACGAATAGTTTTTTGTTTGTTTTTTACATCTATTGAAAATTAATTTCTCTAAATAGCAACACTTCTCAATCCTGATGTCAGCAGTTTAAGCACCCTACTTCAGCTGGCTGCTAATTGTAAGTGTGTACCACATTTTCTAGAATTTATGTATTTCATATAGAAGTTTATCTTTATATTGTTTGGGAATGTAAAAAAAAAAATCCAACCATACCAATTCTGGATATATAAATGCCACAATTCTGTCTTCATCTTCTCTTAACTTTGTGCCTATCAAGCAATTAAACATTTTAATTTCCTTTTCAAGCCACAGTAATAGGGAGAAGCAGAAGCTGTGTTGGCACTGGTCCGTCTAAGACATCACCCCTCCTTCATATCTTACAAGCAAGCTAACATCTCCTAACACAGCCTTGATGTGGGAGAGCTCTCAGCTGAGTTGTCTCCAGTAGGCACTTTTTCAGGTTTCAGTCACAGGGCTTCCTTCGAGGACTTAAGAGACCACAGAGCCCCCGCAAAGAAGATCCTACCTCACTGAACAAAACCATTCCACTGCCTCTAGATTACTTTCTATCCAAGTGTAGGGAAATGTTGCTTACATGTTTAAACACACAAATGTATCCCATTTCAATTCAGGCTTGATTTGATCTATTATTGCCAGAAATTCATGGTTCACAAAACATCCTGTTATGTGAACCAGGATCTTTGTTTCTCATTTTTGCCTACTCACACTCAGCACATAAACCCTATGTTACCCACATTCGTTGTGCAACATGACATGGTGACTTTCAAGGTCTCACAGGTTTGTCTTGCCTCCACAAATGGCAACTTGAGTCGGATTATCCAACATGTATGAGAAAACTCATCTTCTCCAGAATGGCATGATCAGAGTTGCAGCAATACACAACTGTGCTGTGCCCCGCACCCCCTCTAGAGGGCAGTATCATATACTTCCTGCTGTAGGATGGGGACTGGGCCTGGACCTGGGACAATGTTGTGGGCAAATGCAGGGGGATGTGGGTGATCCCACACTGTGTCCTTAAATGCCGGGGGCAAAGAAGGTAAAGGGGGGGCTGAGACTAGAGTGGTCTGGCTTCTGAGCTGCTCTCTGACCTCCTGCTCCAGACCGGGAGGCAAAATAAGCTGGTCCTCAGGGTCCTGCTGTGCTGGAGCAGTGAAGTACCCAGACTTCTTCTTAGGAGCCTCAAGGGCCACCTCAATGAGATTATGGCTGTCCTCAGGGGCAACAACGGAGCCATTGGACAGCTTCTTCCCAAACAGGCTGGATGTGGAAGGAGACTTCTTGAGGTCAGCAATCTCTCTTCCACATACAGCCAGCAGACAGCCATTTGTTGCTGAGACCACCACGCTGTTCTGTCTGCACATTTTGCCATTGGGATAGTCAGAGCCTCGCTTTTCAAGGTCAAAGTCTTTGGGGCTGTCAGAGGCTGACCGCAGTTGGAAAGCACAGCAGTGAATGTCTACCTCCACTTCTAACTTGCTGCCATTGGAAATAACACCCTCAAGAGGAGCTTCATCATCACTGTCCAGGCCGTTGTCAGACTGGTTACTGAAAGTAGCGGAGGAGGGCTGCCGCTGGAATAGGCCTGGATGGGTTCCTGTCCCTGGAGCGCCTAGCACCATGATCCCACATAGTGTGGTAGCAGGATGCAAGCTACAGCGTCTTTCTGGTCGAGCTACATGCCCAGAGGATGGGTGTTCGTCTGAGGCAGTGGATCCTGCCTCGCTGCCAACCTCTGAGGCTGATGTCTCACTGTTGAACTCTGAAACAGCACCACTGCTGCATGAAAGGGTGGCTGGGTCACTTGGACCTGGGGTCACAGTAACAGGCACAGGGGCAAGGATATGTGGAGGAACTCGTGGATCAGTTGAGGAGGCAGGTGGCTCACAGGTGCAGCTGTCTTCACTTATATGCAGGGACACCACCACAGCCTCAATGTTGTCCTTGCAGCCATAACTCTGGGCGAGAGAACACAGTTTCTTGGCAGCAGCACGAGGATCCCGCACATCCTGCACAGTGCACACAGCCTCCTGGAAAGAAACACGTTCAAACAGCGCTCGATTCCCCAGGATCAAGAACTCATCCTGGGAACAGAGAGGCTCAGTGTGGACCCAAGGCTTTGGGAGCACCCAGGGAGAGAGATAAGAGCAGCCCAGTAGGCGAGAGCAGCATGTCACTCCACTCACTTTGTTATCCTACAAAAAAACAAGCCATTAGAATTGTAGATCAACTTAAAAAGAAATACACCTGTGCATATTAAGCTGTACATTTACACTGAACAAAAAGTTCTTTATATTGTTCAGATTATAAAAAACGTGCATTAGGAATAAGTGAATTACCTCTGTAATAATGGCTTTACTGAGTTTAACTCTTTCCATCTCTTCTCTGCAGCTCTCCAAACTGTAAACCTTAGAGAGAGGAACAGGCCGGCCATCTCTGCACAACACTGCCTGGCATGTTCCCACATTTGCCACAGTGAGGCTGAAGCAGCCTCCTGGATCTGAAGGCTCATGGTGAATATAACACAGCAAGGCAGAAGAACCAAGTTTCTGGCCAGCCATACCGAGTTTCCTGTTTAAAAAAAATACACGCAAGAAGCTGCCGAAAACTCTTCTGGGAAGCAATTTTAATACAACAAAAAATAAATAAACAAACAAAATGTTTTACCTGTGTGAAGTGAGGAAAGTGTTGCACATATAGACACTGTCAACACTGGAATGCTGCAGTTCCTCACACAGCACATCTCCCATGGTGCACTGCAGCAACCGAGGCACTTCCTCATTGCGGTCTCCATCAAAGATCCCATAACATGCTTCCACTCCGTCTCCAAAACGGTCGACAGCCAACACAGACACACACAACCTGTACACAACGCATGAACAGATGACTCAGCAGCTCTTATACAAAACTCATACATACTTCAGCATGCAACACGCCAACTCCAGGTCAAGGGAAACGGTGGGGGTGACAGCTGATGAAAGACACTGCTGTATTGCCCCCTGTGGTGGCTGTGACCCTGGAGGAGCGGACAGGCTTGCAGGGCTCTTATTGGTGCACATAATGTTGTTAGATGCACTAAATCCAATAGAATAATTCGTCTCCACTGCCAGTTTACCTCTTTAAGAAGAACCACTGACTGCTTGGACACCAGTGCTAGGCGACTCCCAGTGATTCAAATATTGACTAAGTGGCAGACTTCTGCTCTGTGCTTTACAGCATCATCAAAACAGACAGATATATTACATACAGACTGCAGCAAAACAAGGGTTAAAGAGTGATTGTATACCTGACAGCAAAGCACACAGGAAAAAGATGAATAAAACATACAGACTGGAAAGTGTGCCTGAGGGAGAGCACTAAATGAAGACTGTACTTAATCTAAAGCTACTGTGGTAGCAGTATAGAAGCACTCATGTAGAATGTAAGACAATTTGGATAGATTATGTTTTCAGAACACAACAATAACAGACACACAGACACAGAGAAGAACTCACTTGTTTCTTTGGCCACTCATTTCAGAGTAACCATGGTTCCATGGAGTGGAGGCACTCAGTGAGTCTCCTGGTGTTGTCGTGGATTTCTGGTCTAATTTCAAGGTGGTGATGTGACTATCAGAGGAGTAGAAAATGGTAGAAAAATGTTATTTACATACAATAAGTACACACACATATATAATGAATCATTTTCTGCCACCTCTGGACATACAGCTTCATCATATTCTTATATTTATCATCTATGAGAATGACTTCCTATTGCTCCAGTATGCATTCAGACAACTAGAATCTGAAGCCAGGGTGCCTATATTTGACCTTTCACAAAGACAGTTGCCTATGACTAAACAGTTCTGGATGTTCTGTGACTCACCTGAATACATTTAGGGTTTTGTGTTCCAGCATCAGGCTGCTGTTTCCTGTCAGGTCCAGCTCCTGCAGAGTGGCGGGCAGTGATTCAGGGAGCTGGATCTCAGTCAGCTCGTTACAGCTCAGATCTACAAGCTATAAATGCACAAAGCACACACAAGCTGAAGCAGGTAGAGCATAATCACACAAACAGGCTTGGTAAATAAAACAAGGAAACGTCTGACCTTGATCTCAGGCAGGTTGAGGATCTCTGGGAAGACAGTGATGTGGTTGGAGTGTGCTATGAGGGTGTGCAGTCTCTTACAGCTGGACACAGTGGAGGGGATGGTCTTCAGCTTATTGCCACTCAGATTGAGCTCCTCCAGCATTTCCATTTTGCTGAGCTTACTGAAGACACACAGGTAGAATAATTACTGGTACATCATCAACAGGACAATGAAAAAAGATAACATTTGTAAAGGACATAACAATACGTAAGTGAAAATGACAGGGGTACACACACCTGGCAGGAAAGGAGAACAACTGGTTGTAGGCAATGTGCAGGATCCGCAGGTTCTGGTGTCCAACCAACAGAGCACTGCAGTTCTCATTCAGGTTGTTCCTTGTCAGGTAGAGCTCCTGGAGGGTGCTGAGGCTTTCCTCTGACTGGCTGCTGGGAGGAATCATTGCCAGGACGTTGGCCGACACATTTAAATACTTTAAGCTGTGAGAGAAGACAAATAAACAGAAGATATGCAATAGTTTGAAAAAGTCTATGCAGTGATCTGCCCAACAAGTCATAGCCAGCATGAAAAACAATGCTTAAAAACAAACAAATCCTCTTTCAGTACATTTGAATTCAGGAAGCTGTACAACAACTTAACAATAATATTAACGGAGTAGTTCCCTGAGTTTGTTCAAACAAAAGTAACAGCAGAATATTGGTATTATCCAATACCAATATTAGTATAACAATATTTCTTATTCTTATTTTCATAGTAACAAGCAGGAAATTATTCACATATTGTTGAACTAATACAGAAAAGGGGGTTAGTATTTTGAGCTTCAATATTTCTTATGCAACTGGTATTATTAAGTCATTTTCTCTGCAAATCATTGTGAAGCTGTTGTTTAAATCAGTCAGAAACTACAAAAGTGATATGACTTCTCTGCAGCACACAAATATCACAAGACTGTTGACATCTCACTGGCCTTTCTTATTTATTCCGTGTCTACACGTTTGAAAATATATTAAACATGTTTAAAAAAAACATGTCTATATGTTCAATAGCCAAAAATCTATAACCAGAAGTTGTTTCCATCAGTCTAGAGTGTATTTTCTCTTAAGAGCTGCGCAGCTCTTGGACAACATATCAGGAAACCCATCGTACACAAAGCAGTCTCTGCCATATCGTCTCAGCATTAGAGAGAGTAAAGTACATTAGAGCATTTGAACTGCTAATGGGTGTTAAGTGATTTACCACACAGGAAATAGGAGGGCAACTGAAGCTCCAGTTACAGTCCGTAGTGCTCCCTTGTTCTTGCCCACAATCCCTACAGTACATACAGTCTATACTTTATCCCCAAAACCAAAGAGACAAGTAGTAGCTTAAATGGTTTTAAGGAAAAACTGAAATGGAAACAGAATTATCAGTAGAGAGAGAGGGATTGAAAGACTCACTTTAAGGCCTTGTAAAACAGACTCTCGGGGAGCTCGGCTAGCTTGTTGTGCTGGAGGTCCAGAACTTCCAGGGGGATGTGGTCAAGTAGGTCAGGCACTCTCTCCAAATGATTGTTCCCTGCCAGCAGCTTTCTTAAACTCAAGCTGTTGAGCAGTCTGTCAGGGGCCAGAAGAGCGTTAGAGACGAGCGAAAAAGAAAAAGAAAAAACCAGACCTACAAAAAGGAAAAGAGCCAAAGAAAATTGTCTGCACATACAGACTTGTCTACTTGTAAGGCTGGAGGGAGGGAATTATTGGGAACTAATCCATTGGTGACCTTTCCAGCTTGGCTGAAACAGACCAGCACAGCAGCATCCAATTCTGTCCTGAACCCATCACCCAAGTCATGAGCAGGTATAGTGGATGGAGGAACATTAATTCATTTGCAGAAGTTCTTCTGATGTCTTACTGAAGTGCAAAAAAAATACCTGTGTAATGTTTAGAGGGTTGGAAGTGAAAGATGGAATAATAAGTGCTAAAGTAATGCCAATTTTTCCCCAGTTGTAACTGTTTGACAGCGACACTGTCTTTCACAAAGTGACTGATGTGTTATATTCTTTCCCTGTATAAATCAATTAAAACAGTATGAAAGTGTGTAATGTAACACCTGCACTTCTTATTCAGGACAGCATAGCATTCTGTCAGCTGCATTAAAATGGCATTTAAAGTTTCAGAGCAAGTGACAAAAAATAGAAAAAAAAAAAAAGGTCAATAACCTTGAAGGAAGCTCGAATAGGAGGTTTTGTGTGACGTCCAGCATCTCAATTTTTCTACAGTCACACACCCAATCCGGAAGGTACTCCAAAAGGTTCCTGTCTCAACACACACACAGTCACACACATAGAATGACACACATAAACACTCAAACTGAGCAGAGCTGACATTAACCTGCAGGGTAATCTAAGAATGCAAATGTAGATATGCACTTTAATAAATAAATATTGTGCAATAGAGGTATATTTTAAACACATAACAGCTTATATAACCTCTGACACAATGTAACAATTACTGCTCATGATTAGCCCTACATCCATCACATTTTGTACATAAATGTGTATCAGTCAAAGGTTTGTGAACATATGTTAAGTCTCAAATCTTCTAATGATGCAGGCTGAAAGGCAAAGAAAAATTCAAATAGCCAGAAGTAAATCTTCAATTCTACCAAAAAGACAAAAAGGATATAGAGCACACTTTGAGAAGAAGAAAAAGAAAAAATATATTTTTTTATCTTCTGAACAATTGAATTTCACAGAATGTAATTTGTTAGCCATTTTTGTATCCAAATTCATTTACACCTCCAGATAGAACCGTGCCCATAAATGAACATTAAGACAAATGTGCTGATGCTATTTTTAGATTATGACAGCCTCTGTTATAAAATCTGGGACCACACAGACAATGGACACTCCTTCCCAGCCAGAACTCACTGTGATAGGTCCATGTGTGTCAGCTGGTTGGGGACTGGATAGATGTTGACTGTTGTGAGGCCTGTGGGTAGATAAAAGCAGCAATAAGCAGAACGTTTCACAAGGGAGAAGGGTCTGAACATACATACAGACTAACAGTCAGTGAGGCAGTAACAGCAGCTAGTTGATGCTCTATTTGACTCACGGTTGCTGCTGGCATTAAGCATGCGCAGAGTGAAGCCGCTGAGTGTAAGTGTCCCCAGCTGGTTTCGTTGACAGTGCAGAGTCTCCAGGTTGCAGATGGAGCTCAGGTCTAGAGAGTCCAAGCAGTTGTCCCGCAAGTCCAGCTGTGTCACCTGGCTCACTGCCTCTGTATTCTCAGCTTTTACACAGCGCAGCCCATTCAATCTATGTTTAAAAGGGAGGACAAGAGATGAATATCACTGGTTAGTCCAGGGATCTTCGGGAACTGAGAAATATGTCTTAGATGAAGCTTTAATATGACATTAAATACATACTCAATGCAGTGAAGGATTCTAATTTCATATTTGATAAGAAAGATGAATTGCAGTAGTTGAGTATACAAAATATGACGTGCAAAATTAGCACATTCATTCTTCAATACTGTAAATTCGACAAAATATATAATAGCACTACATTTGTTTCCTCCTCCCTTTTTTCTGGAAAATACACTTAAGACGAACCCAGAAGATGTTCATCTTCTTAAGTTATGCTTAAACATTTTAACAGGCAAGTGCAAAAATATTCAAATTCTTTGGGACAACCATTTTGAATAGAAAATAAGAAAGAATAAACCACATTTTCAAAACTCACACATACCACTCAATAAAAGTTTCATTAGAAATCTAACACCCTGGTTTAGCTCAGTTGCTGAAGCAGGCCCCCAATGTACAAAGGCAACAGTCCTCTTCGCACTGGTTGCAAAATCGACTCCCGATCTTGATGCTATTCGGTGCATTTCATCCCCTACTCTCTCTACCCATATTTCCTGTCTCTCTCAAGATGTCCTATTTCATAAAGGCATAAAAAGCCCTCAAAAAATCATCTAAAAAAAACAAAAAACTAATACGAATCTTACATCCAAGATACTGTGTTTGTCTGAAGATACATTGGGGAGCCGCCTTAGTTTCTCCCCTAACTTTAATAGGAACAACTTCTCCATATTTAGTAACCTACTTTGAAAAACAACCAGAAGTTGGACAAAAAGTGCAGAGGAATTGGAGGTCATGACTGCACGCTGACACTGCACTGAGATCCAGACTCCTTTAATCCCATCTATCCTGCTAATAAACTACAACTTCTCTTTCCTGAGAGCAGCAAGCCCACTAATCCACCACAGACGCACCTTCCTCTTAAAAATAGTCTGCCATTGCCAAACCAAAACTTAACTACCTTAGACTACTGGCTAGGATAATCTTTAACACTATTTACTGGTTTGATCCTCAGACTGGTTTGAATTTATCTGAGATGAGCTTTCTGTTCCTTTGAAGTAAGACACCCAGCCCCCAACTGTTCCTGTGTAGCTGCTGAGTGTAGTGCTGTAGTTCTAGACCGCTTCCAGGTGTGAACAAAGATGTGAAGCAGGGCAATGCAGAGAAAAAAACGTTGTGCTAAGCAAACCTGGCATCTATTAATAAATGTTTAATAAAAAGGTAAAGACTAGAGGAGTGGGGAAGGAAGAGGAAATGGCTGTTGTTCTTAAACTCGTGTTTGCGTCAGGATATTTGTTTTTGTCAATGCCAGAGGAAAAACACTAAAAAGAAAAACTTTATAGATAGGTGGCATTGCAGCGTTATTCTCTTGTGCCCTCTTAGTCACTGGATGACTGACAGTGTTTGTAGGCGTCTCTTTACATTACATATTGTATTTTTCATATTGATCGACAGAGGAAGAAAAGCAGAAAGGGACTGAGGAATTGTAGAGGCTGAGAGCTGTTTATCCCCCTGGCTGGCCTCTTACCGGAGGTCGATGTTTTTCAGGTGGCTCATTTTGGCCAGAGTACACAAATCTAGACACTCCACTCTGTTCCCAGCCATGGCCAGCTTGTCCACTGCACTCAATCTCTCCAGCACAGCAGAGATGTGAGAGAAGTTGTTGAAAGAAAGCCCAAGGCCATTGAGTTGGTTCAGGCCACCCAGCTCTTCAGGCAGGGAGCTGAGGTGGTTTCCATCCAAAGACAGCGTCTGCAGGCTGCATAATGGAGAGGAGGAAATAAGTCATTATTTGCTTTCTTTAACTTGATGAGTGGTAAAATATCAGCTTGAGTCTTTTTGGAGGGCCTTGTTTACCAAGCAGCATCCTCCAATAAGCTCAACAGATGAAAACTGCCAGATTTAGCTTCCTGACCTAATTTGATACAATATAATATATATTCTTTAATAATTTCACTGACTTCAAGCTTTTATCAACTTTTATTATGTGTACATGTGGCCTAAAAGTTCAAGCCACAATATTTCTGAGTAAATAATAAGCAAAGAATTTAGTATAATGAAAAATGGAAAACAAGTTAATAAGACAGACAACCTCATATAACAATCAATAAATCGATGTCCTTCTGTGGTGTATAGACAGATTTGGTTTGGAAATAATCACGAAATAAATATTTGCCTATTTGGCAAATTTTTGAACATATTTGTACATGTAGGGGAGAAAACATGAATGTGTATTTTGGGGTGTTATCAATTGTTATGTGTTTTTTTTTCCATACTTTTGAATAATTTCAAAGGTAACCTTGATTATAACTTGTGCATTAACCTGGGGGTTGTATTTGGGATACATTCTTCTGATACTACTTTTACCTTTTTATGTACTGCTTCAACTGCTTATGTACCTACATAATACATTTTGTTTTGGTTTAACATGGTAATCATTGCTTATGTGATCCTGAACTGTGTTTAATTAAAGGCTAGGTAGAGTAAGTGTGGGTCACTGTGTCACACCTCTGAAGGTTGCCTATCTGCACAGGGATGATGTCGAGACTATTACAGGCGAGGTTGAGTTCAGTCAGGGTGAGGATCTCGCACACACATTCAGGAAACAAACCCAGACGGTTGTGAGACAAGTTCAGGCTCTTCAGCTGAGAAAACCTTTAGAGGGAGAGAGAGAGAGAGAGAGAGAACAGCATGGAAGTCAATCCTGTCTTTCAGCCCAAGCAGATCCAAATATTTTCTCCAGCCACAACTCACTAAGTCACAGCCTCTATAGCCGTATTTTCCCAAGAGCTTGCCAGAAACTTTTATTTTAATTTTAATGAAGGGTGAGTGTTAATTACAACCGCAAAATCAGAGAAATTATGAAAGCATAAACAAACATGTCTTACAGTGTTTTCATTATTTTATTTAAATTAAAGTTAAATTGGCTTTAGTTTGAACCTCTTTGGGAAATTAAACCCTCTCTTTTAAATGGAAGCAGGGCTTTACAAAGCTCTCTAAGTGCTACCAACAGAGGAGCTTAGATTTCTGTTTGTAAAAAAATGTACGTCTTCCTCCAACTGCCTGTCAAAGTGAGACACCTGTGTGAAAGATAAAGACTTCACATCATATACAGAATGTCAGCATATTTGTGCAGTACGTCTATTCTTTTGTCTCTTGAAAAAGAAATAAACACAACATGTTTTTTGTCTCAGTTCCATAAAGTAAAAAAAAAATACTTCTGATTGAATTATTAATTTGTATCAGATCGAATCAAATCGCAATGAATCGTTCTATAGTCAAAGAATCGCCCCTGACTCGGATTATAGCCCTAAAACATCAAATCATCTTATAAAGGAGAGATGCACACCTCTAATAGTCACAAACAATATTAGGTTGAGAAAATAAGTGAAAATACATAAATAGCCAAGAAGACGTACTGCCACCAGCATATCAGCTGACCAACTGCTGTTGTCTATGCACTGTCAAGTCTACAGAGCTATTTGTTTGGTCTCAGGGGAATAAGTAGACATTAAGTGTGAATACAAAGAAGATGCATGTTGAACTAGCAACTGAGGCTGAACACAGATTGTTGAAATCCATGGTGAACACTAAAGAAATGAGGTGCTTTAGATTCATTCCCCCCAAGTGAACTGTGGGAGTAGTGTGCTGTTTGTTATGTGGGCTTGCACCATGTTATTAGGTTGGCTATGAAGGCATCTGGAAATAGTCAGTCAGTGGCTGGGCAGCCAAAAAAGGGCAGCCTTCATATTGAAAAAGTATTTAGAATCTCCCTATAAGTGCCTTAGTACAACCAGAGGATGGTGTTACTGAATGGCCAGTCAAACAGTACACACTTGCAAGACACTCACAGTAATTGTTCACCGTCTTTTTAGTGAGTAGCAGCAAGGCAACTTAACGTATCAGGTTTTAACATAGGACTCACACACAGATACAGAAAACAGAAAACCAATGGACTTTGTTTAAATAAGATCAGTTTCAGTTTGACAAAAACTAAAGTCCTGTCCTGCTTCATGGATGATACTAGGACCCTCTTTGTTTTTAAATATCTTGCAAGAATATGTGATAAGCAAGAAGCAAATACTTACATTAAGAGCAAAGAGTTGAAGATTGACAGCTGAGTAGCTGGAGAACTTGTGACTATAATTGTGGAGGTTCTATTTGAGCAACATGCTGAGGTTTTAATGCAGCGCTCTAATACCGGTAGATTAAAAGCTTGCATGAGAAATGATCATATGAAACGGTGTACATAACAGATAGTTAACAAGATTGATAGCAACCAAAAGTTGTGTGTGATTAGCAGCTACATGGACAACTTTCATTTGCTGACAAGCAGAAGGTCTCCCAGAGTGTTTGCTGAAGCCAGCAAAAAAAAGCTGTGAAAAAGCAAAGGAACCGCTTTTAATGCACTTAGACTCAGAACATGGAGAGGAGGATTCAGACTAATGTAGTTATAAATACAGTTTTTATGTTTTGTTAGTTTTTTTTAAATAAGGCCCTGCGGATCTATTCAGTTTCGAGAAAAGGCTGTTACGTCAGATCACCTGCATGCACTTTTACCTGTCGTCTCGTTCAGCCACAATTTGAATGTTTGAAGTTTGAAGAGGGTCATTTATTACATGCTAATTGAAAAAGGTCTGTAAGGTCCAAACTTATTAAGTTAACTTAAATATCGACAAGGAAAAAGAAAACTTTTTGCAAGATGGATTTATTTATTAATACAAGCCTAATAAGTAGCTTGGGTAAGATGACTTTCTGTATCCAGTAAAGCTACCATGAGCTCCTTGTTTCACTAGAACAAGTCGTTATAAACCAATCTCCTTGAGTAACTCATCACTCCATCTGGAATTTTAAACACTTTGAAACACTACTCCTACCTATGTCCAATCATAAATAAACCGGCATAATTTGGAAAATACCATGATATACCGATATGTGTTTTTTATGAAGCCACCCAGCACTATGCTATCAAGCATATATATTTTAACTGCTTAATTGACCTTTGAAACAAGTGAAAAGGTGGAAAAGTTACATATTGTTGCTTTAAAAAGCTAAGACCAAAGGTTAGCCTTTATTAGCCGTGCACGTCTTCTTAAATACACTTCATGTCTAAATAAAGTCCCTGAAGAACTTTTATGTCAATCTGATCTTATACAGCCATGGAATTGGTTTCACCTGACGCTTGAAACATGGCACAATGTAATTAATGCAGTCTTTGTTGGACTAAAAGTATATTTCAATGAAATGACACTTTCTGTCACAGGACCACAGCTACACAAAAACCTTAAACATCCATCTGTTAGCAAATGTTTGTGAAGGGAGTCTTCAGGTTAAGGATGTGTTATTACCTGGGGAGGTTGAGCAGGCCTCCAGGTCCCTGAAGGCTCATGAAGTTGTGCCGCAGGTTGAGGTGAGTGATATCCTGACAGTAAAATAGATACTCAGGTACTGCTTCCAGGCTGTAGCAGGACAAGTCCACCAGGCAGATTGTTTGAGACACCACCTATATTTAAACCCAGACACATACACATGAATACATACATACAGTACACACACACACACACACACACACACACACACACACACACACACACACACACACACACACACACACACACACACACACACACACACACACACACACACACAAACACACAAAGAGTCAAATGGAATAGGGTTAATCTGTTAGTATGTAATAGGGAGGTTTCTGAATTGGGGCTAGACGTAAACTCTGAGACAATTTGGGAAAATGTTTCTGTTTAAAAAAAAAAAAAAATCCAAGACTTATCAGTATATATATGACATTTTGTCACAGAGCATATCTAACTCCAAGAAGCACCAACTGGGATTTTAAAGCATTATAAGTTTCCTTACTGATTAAGGAAGGTGTTTCTGGGAGTTTAATCTATCATAGATATTGACTTCTCTGAGCACTCAGTACCCGATAAAAAATGGGGTAGTCTATTAAATCTGATCCCAAGGGAACCCTGTAGGCTTTAAAAGCTGACATCACTCTGCCACCTCCGACACATACCCAGGCTAAAGGATTGGCATACACTGCTTGAATCATATTAATACATGAATCTCCAAACTTAAATTATTTTGGAACTCTACAAAGATATGGCGATTCAAAAAAAACAAACATCAAATGCCTTTTTTTTCAGCATACACAAACAGCAGGCTTTAAGAGATTTTACCTCAAGCGAGCTATGACAATCAACAGTGGAAGCAACTATATTGTCCTCAAATTATGCAAGCCACCAGCTGCCCTGCCAATATATTACTTCAGACAAACATTGTCCCCGTTTCCAGTTTAGTGGAGATAACCTGACAGGGAAGAATAGTTGTAAGGAATTTAGAAAGTAATGGAGTAATTCTGTACCATAAACCAGTTAAGTCACACCTTAGTTACATGTGTATAAATACATGTACCACTTTATTATTTTGGCCTTTTGTCTTTATTGGATGGGAAAGCTGTAGAGTGAAAGGCAATGCAGGGAAGCGAGAGTAGGGGATGAGATATACTAAACAGTTGCTGACTAGGAGTTGAACAAGCAACTGGTGCCACGAGGACTGTAGCATATATACATACGTAGGACGCCTGCTCTACCAACTGAGATAACCAGCACCCCAGTTTCCCCTTTTTAAAACAAATGCAGTCTTAGCTCTGCAATAAAGCCATTATGACAGTTCACCTGTTGGATCTTTTTTTTAACTGTTTAAATAGGTGACGATGTATCTTAATGGGTTCATTTTGAAGACTGCAGTTTGTGGTGCTTTTAAATAGTTTTCTGCTAAAGTAAGATAGATAACAACATTCTTATTCTCACTCGCAGCTGAACTTACATGATTGTGATGTTTTGTGCTTGTTTGGCACATTTCACATCACACACAAAAATTGTGCAATGTAGTATAATATACTAAATACAGTGCACTTACAGGCTTCTCTAACCCAGTAATCCATACCACTATAGTCCAGAGAAATCCAGGACTTAACATGAATCTGTAACTAATTGGATTTCCTTTTTTTTTATTTGTTGGCTTTGTCTGTCCATAACTAATTGTCTGCTGCTGGCTCCTCCTTAGTGGAGGCTCACACAGAGGCAGTTCAGCTCCAGGAAGGAGCAATGGAACAACAGTCAATAATTAGGATATTAGACACAAAGCAACAAGAGCAGAAAAGAAAAGAAACAATGCATTTTATGATCAACAGCTGTGAGGAACTGGCAAGATTCTCAAACAGTGTTATTAAATAAACAAAAGAAAATGTTTTTGGGTTATGGTGCATTTTAAAATCAACAAAAACTTACATAACATAAAGAAGAAGATAACATTGTGAAGAAACTTAATAGAACTTCCCCCTACTAAAAGTAGAAAAACATAGTATATGAATAGAGGTGTGCTGTTTAATCAAAGCAAGACACTGCTGTGTGTCTGCCTCTGTGGAGACAATCAAACCAACTCAGAGAGGCGGTTTCTGATTGGACCACTCATAGGAAGATGGCAACCTTGATTCCAACATCTAATCTTTGATTGAAGTACAAGCCCAGAGGGACTAACTGTAACCAAACAAACTGTCACACATTCTTGCTTACTTTTGATGCCTGCCGATGCCAGCGTTGGTAGTCCACCAGTGTGTCAAAGTTGACAAAGTACGTCTGTGCCTGGTATCCAGCTGAGCTGAACATCAGACAGTGTTGCCTCCGCTTTACCTCCTCCACCTAAATACAAACACAACACACAAATTGAAGGAGGAGGAGCACAGAGAGGAAACATTAATGCAAAATTATTGCAACAATTTCCACTGTTTTTATCTTGGCAAAGAAAAGTATCAGTAGTGTTTATTTCATTATATTGTTAGTGATGACATTTTTATTTAGCTATACTTATCTTCCTGTGCTTTGTTAAGACACAGTCTGTTTTTGGGGTCTCACAGAGAGAAAAAAGGTTTATACTTTTTTTCTTTGTCATGAATTCCATTGCTTTCAGCAAAGTCCACAACATGCATTTTCTGTGCAGCTGTGTAGCTCTTTTAGTATCATCTGTTTTAGCTTTGTGTAGTTTGAACTGTTATTAGCTACAGTATGGTAGTTGAGCTCAGACCCACAGCCCAAAAGTTGCACTGCTCACCTCACTTGTTGTCTTTAATTGAGGGTCTTTCAGTCAAATGAGCACTCCACAAGCTTAATTTACAAAAACATATACCACAGTTTTCTTTCAATGCATGATTTAGATATAATGAGGGTGAAAAGCTGCACGCTTGGTCTGCGTCGCTATGTATCCCAGCACAGTTAACAATGAATGGAGTAAATTTTCACTCATGTAAGATCGTGTGATGCTGGCGGCTGCTGGACTTTATGCTGGAATTTATACTGGTATTGACTCTCAGCTAATGTGTCAGAATAATTCCATGTGGGATGGGTCTTGTAAATGACCTGACACAAAATTAAATCATTCATTCATTCATTAATTCATTAATTAATTCGGTAAATTGGTCTCAACAGTACAAAGGACGAAGCCAGCTTTTTAGATGAAAACAAAGGTATTAAAAGTTTTATGTTACCTACAATTGTTAAAACTCATTTTGAATTTGTAATTTGTTTCTCTTAAAAACTGTAATGTCTGTCTTTATGCAGATGATTCTCTATTCTGCTATTCTCCTCTATTGTACACCATTCTATTACAGCATGTTTTTGTAGTTTTGCATAAAAAAAATATTTTTTTCCGTTAACATTCAGAGACCATTTGAAATTGGTATGTAAGTGACAAGAAATTAGGGGCAGATAAAGCAGGTTTTCTTTGCTACCTGGGCAACAAGTCCTGCCCCTCTAGTATGAGATTGGTTGCCTGGAGCGACGACATCAGCACTTTGCTGAACAGTATGGCCTAAGATGTTTCAGTTGTAGCACCAAGAATTGTTAACTAAACTGTAAACAAAGACTCTGAAAAAGACACTATAGAAAGATAATGAGTATAATATGGAATCTTTAAACGCAACCTTTAAAGATTCCATATTATACTCATTATCACCCTTCATGTTGTCAGTCTGTAAAACCTATAGAGTGGCTTTGGATGGTTTTCAACTGAAAAAAAAAAACCTTATTTATCTTTTACTGGCATCAGTAAATGCCCCAATTACAGCTCTGCTTATAATGGTTTTTTTCAGCTGCTGTCTCTTTAAGGCCTCTCCCCACGCACCCATGTTCTTCTGATTGGCCAGCTCACTGGAAGCCTTCCAGGGGGTGAATGCAGCAAGGCTGCCAGGAGAGGGCTGTTCTCCAGTGCTAGTAGAACAGCCAATGTAAAGGGCTCCACCAGCCTACGTCGAGACTTGAAGTCGTCTCTTAGAAAAAATAAAATCCGGATTCTTTAGTGAAATGTTATGTTTCTTCAACCTTAGCTGATAGCACTACATTCAGCCCCATCCAGCTGTCCAACCCAGCTGTGTTATTGCAGAGTATAAAGTTAAAAGTCAACCCCCTGTCAGGTTGTCGGACCTACAAACACTGCACTCTTACCTTTCCCCCCACCAGAGGTAGGATGTGCATCTTTCCAGTAAGGCTGTCTTTGACGGAGGCCACGATTAGACAGGTGCCGCAGAGGATGACCTGTCGCTCTGCCCACTTATGTAGCTGCGACTTGCCCTTCCTGACGCTGAATACGCCTTTTAGAAGGGTCCGTTCCTGCTGGTCTGCATTCACTGGACGCTCTGAAAGAAAAGCCCACACACACTCTTAGAGTTGATCTGCAGATAATAAACTAATTACTGGCAGATGTTATGCACACAAGTTGGATGGAGGCATTCAGAAAATGAAGTCATACATATACACACACAGGGCAGAATGATATCACCTCAGATTAGTCACCTTAGCTAATTAATACCAGGAAATTATCTGACAACAGTGCATCGGAGGACACTGCCCTATTATCTCATAGGATGTACATTTGGATTGCTCTCACTGCACAATAACAGGTTGGAAAGAAAAATCAATATACTGTTGTAGAATTTTTCTATAACTGTCCCCCCCCCCCCCACACACACACACACACACACACACACACACACACACACACACACTTTTAAGAAGAAATCATCTGTGTGCATATTTGCCTCATGCTGAAAGTAGACTACATAAAAGCTAAGAAGAGAGACACCCAGTACAGTATATAGTATATACAGTATATAATCAATGTGTTGTGTTCGTCAAGTGCCAGATAGCCAGAAAGCTGGGTTCATATTTCATTTATTAGTCTCAGTCGGGCTCATTTTAGTTGGATCTTTGAGAAATGGGTACTGTGAGTATTCAGATGCCGGTTTCAGGCCTTTAAAATGAAGCCTAGGCCATATTCTTGTATTACAGGGATAATACTGTTTTCTTTGTTTCCTTCACAAACATCTTCATAGATCAGAGATCAAATCTAGAATGGAGGATATAAAACAAAACCATAGCATTACAACTTCAAGTTATGTTCAGGGTTCAAATATAGCAACACCAGTCAGGTTGGTATGCAGATAGGGGACTTTTCAATTTTAGTATAGTACTGAGATGTTAGTTTTTCAGTGGTTCTTTTCAAGGATAAAATATGCATCTACACCTCTCTCTGCTTTCTCTCTATGGTCATCTTATCCTTGCCAAAGCATCAGTCATATTGATGAATGAGTCAGGGCTTTGTCACATCAAACTTCAGTCTATTCAATTAAATTATGCCAACTTGCACAGCAGGCAGCCTTAGCTGGCCAGAGCTGAAGGACAAATTGGACAGCAGCGTCTCTGCCAGGCTGCAAGTACAGTACACTCGGGTTAACAGTGGGTCAAATAAGTACATAGGAGAGATACTGCCTCATCCTTTTGTCCTGTGGTGTTAGAATTTCCTCAAACCAACATATGCCTCCTCCCACTCAGAGACTCTCACTGGCAATCTGCTTACTCTCCCTAATACTGTCTGCCTTGCTCTTCCTCTCCACCTTCACTTTCACTTCTCAAGGGCATCCGAAAGAAATGAAAGGTGGCACATCTTTTTCTTTGCCAGGGAAACTGATAATGAACAAGCCAGGTGCTTCTGGAAAAAAATGGGCTTGGCAGGCAGATCAATAGCGGTGACTGGTATTTTGTGTCTCCTCATGTGAGACAAACTCTTAAAGGGTCAGGAATAGGTAGTACTATCTAAGAGGGTGAAAACACCTGAACACAGGGCTGGATATCAAACTCTTTTTTTTAATTAGGAAAAGTTATGTTATATGTTATTCATACATCAGAAGACAGTAAGGTTATTTTTTCAGACTGTATTAAACATTTTCAGTTTAATATGTTGTCCGGATACCACTTTAAACTACATTTCACTGGCTCAGGTGTCACACTCATTGTAGACAGTCATGACTCACAGAGTTATTTTCAGAGGATATATTTGATTTCTGCTACATTTCAGTGAGAAAAATTGCATATTTTCCTTCAAGGAAGATTGTATTTTAGTTTGAGCAAATTAAGGAAAAAAGCCCTAATTTAAGTGGAAAATTACTCAGTATTAGTAAAGTATGATTAAGCCGTTGGATGAGTTTGTAAATAAACCTGAATCCATCCATCCATTTTCTTTTCCTACAGGTAATTTAAAGGTGCACTATGTAGTTTTGGTAGAGAAATGTGAAAGTTGGAGAAGTGTACAGATTCTGTGGTATATGTTAATAACTCTATACACAAACTGTCCTCAGTGGAAAATTTGGTCCCTGGAACACTGCTTGAAGATAAAATGCTAAGCGAGAAGTTATGGAGGGGGTCTGCAACAGTGAAACCGTAACTCTGCTTATTGCTTTTTAGCTACAAACCAGGGATGGTTCCAGGGATCCATTTTCTACTTTGAGTAAAGTTTGTGTATTTAGTTCAGAAAATATATCAAAGAATTGTTTCTCTTCTCCAACTTAAAAATTTCACTACCAAATCTGCATAGTGCTCCTTTAAGTCTCCAATTAAGCTAACAAGCCACATGTGTTTGTACATGTGTTTCTATTCAATAACTTGTTGAGACAAACAAGACATGTTCGTATTCAATTTAAGATTATACAATAAATGCTAAGACTAAAAATAAGTAAATACATTTTAAACAGTGCCTCGACTGGATATCCAGCGTAAACTGCATGCGTAATGCAGATGAGAGGGGAATTAAATGCTGTAAGTCAGAGTTGCGTAGTTTATGTTCTGCTTGTACAACATTGGTTTGATATATTGATATTTCAACATACATTCAGAGAGGACTTGAAATGCAATTTGAATGGGCTTTTTTTTCCTTTTGGTGATGGTGGGTTTCTTTGGTGTTGGGTGAAACCTCTTTGGGGGGCGCCAAAGATTTTCTATGAAGGAAAAACCCTGTGAATGTAAGTGAAGGAAAAAGGCCTCCCGATGAGGGAGAACATTTTTAAGGGGGCGCCACTGAGCCATTTAGCACCGCCCACTCACTATACCTACATGAAAAGTTGTACTTTCCCCCTGGGATGATGTAAAAATTTGTGCGTTTTCGTGCATGTTAAGGCCCCCAAATAAGCGATCCATTTGTGCAAAGGAAAAACATGACTAAAAACTCCTACAGATACTATAGGGTCCTCGCTCCGAGGTCAGTGCTCGGGTCCTAATTATCCGTAGCTGTATTTTCTCTTCCTGTAAAAAGTTTCAAATGTCTGGAGCGCTGGTGGTGCAATGTATGGAGGCTGTGGATGGATGGATGGGTTGTTATTACTGTATATTATTCCCTGTTCTCTTTGTCCCTTCTCCCCTTCTGTTGTCATCAGCTCTGCCAAGGTGAATCAACTTAATGACAATTACAAGCAACTGTTTGTGTAACTTACTTTAGATTTAGTCTTCAGTTGAGCTCTGTTTTTATAATTTTGTTCTTTGTTTATAAATAATAAACCCCTAGTTTTTACTTTTTTAGGGTGATTTATGTGCTCTTATTAGGTCTTTTTGTGTGTAGGTCTTCGCCCCATAGGGCAACCTTAGGGTGGGATGTGATAGTATTCTAACCATCCTTTCAAACTTGATGTGTTTATGCTGATAGCATTCATACCAAGTTTACAGACATACACAGATACACATCATATTGCTTTTAGAACTTTCATATCAATAAAACCACTCATCTGGAAATCATTGACCTATTTATGCAATATCAAATAAATCCAAGCCATAAAAAGCCAACTCCTCAAACACATGATATCCCTCAAGGTCTGTTGGGGCCATTAGTTGCTATGGAAATAGGTTGTTCACAAATCAAAGTCCAATCTAAAAGGGTAAACCCGTCACACTTTCTCCAGCAAATGTCTCCATCAACTATGCAGAAGGCCGGCCAATCAATCCTATCCCACCTGACAAATAGTGTTTACAAGGGGTGTCCCCAACTAAGGATTTACACAGTCAAATGTGATTGGTCAGATTTTGCCTATCATCAGCTGATCGTCAAATGTCTATTTTGTCTGTGCTCATTGATTCATGTATTCAGTTACAATATAAAAGAGAAAACAACATAACTAAAATAACTGTCTTCTACATTTGGAATAACAATGATGATTACGACAGGATTGGATTCATCCATTTTCTTTCTGCATTATGGTGACCTTATTACAATAATACACTTGCCCATTTACAATACAAAAGGCTCATAGCTTAAAGGAAAAAAAGAGTAGCAAGGTACAAAACTTTTATTTATCGCATGTATTCCACACAGAAACGACTGGACCAAAAAATAAAATGACTAAAACTAAAACACTTGAAGACTGATAGCCAGCTGAGATGCTGATCCAATGGCCTAACAAAATAGGATAGTCCACCTGAGCCTGTTAGAAATCTGCATAAACTGACGGCCCACCCGCCAGTGCATCTTTCAGACCCTTAGTGTTTACCATTCCCTCTGGTTCCAGTAGGGATTTAAAACATGATCAAACAGAAGATGTTGTTAACCTTTTGTTGCAAGATGTTTTTGTCTGATTAAGGAGGGTTAGGAGGAGAAAGGCCATGTGCTGGTTCCACTGAACTAATCATCAACATGTGAAATGGTTTCCTAGGAAGCTGCCACACCAGATGTAAGCACAGGTGGTTTCACCTGCTCGGCATTTCTGCCTGTCACAACTCCGATTGTGCCATTGTTCAGGCTTAAGGGTTGTCAGTGGGAGCCGTCCTTTCAGCCTGCTCTAGGATCCTTTCCCCCACGCCTTGTCCTTCCTTCTGCGCCAGAGCGAGAAGCTCCCCTGCTCTGACTCCTACGCAAAATCTTTGAAGGCGCTCCTCTTTTTGGGGCCTGTGATTCCAGTAGATTTCAAATCCAGTGAAGCCCCATCACCCAATTTCCACAGGAGAGGTGAATGCTCTTCACCTAGCTTGTGAGCATGTGGCAGCATACTTCTTCTTTCTCTCAATGGCAGCCTCCTTCCCCTCTTCTCATGGAACAGTCAGCTCTGCCATGATGACTGTTCTAGAGGGCACAGACCAGAGCACAATATCCGGCCGTAGAGATGTCATGGTAATCTCTTTAGGGAACTTCAGCTGGTGGTTGAGGTAAGCTGACATCTGCCACTCGCCTCCTGGGGACAAGAGGGATATCTCTTGTCCCCAAGAAACAAATTTCCCCCTGGGATTAATAAAGTATTTCTGATTCTGATTCCTTCGTGGTCCAACTCTTTGCTTCACTCCCTTGCCTGTCAAAATGGATCAGCCACTGGGATGTAATTGG